GACCTGAAATATTTCAGTTGGTGTGCAATGAATCTGAAATATATGAAAGTTTCATTTTTATCATTACATTATGGAAAATAATGACCTTTATCACAATATGCTAATTTTTTGAGAAGGACCTGTAAATTGTCCCTAGATTTCTACAATTCATAATTTCAAATTCAACAGTTTCCTGCAGGATCAATAAAGTTCTAGCTTATCTCATCTTGTAGGTGTGAGTGAGAGAGTGAGTCGTTTGTCTCGTATGTCTCTTAGTGACCCTGTGATGGACTTGCAAAACCGTCCAGTGTGTACACCACCTCTCGCACAGTTAATGCTGGATATGGGCACCATTGACCCCTGTGACCCAAAAAGGAAGTGGGTAAAAGATAAAGATTGCATGTTATATTTTTCAAAAAGTATAATAACAGTTGTAGTATCTCATGTGAGACAACGATTTTGATATGAATGGTTAAAAAAGTAGAAGTATGTAAAACTGATTTGATCACAAAAAGACACCAGGAAAACAATTGCAAATATTGACATGGTATATACATTTAAAAAATACTTCATAAATAGCATGCAGGATTAAGTGCATACCGTCAATTCAAGTTGTTATTGTACACTTTAAAGGATTATAAAAACAAAGAGGAGGATAAGAGGTGTTAAAAATAACTAATCCTTAACTAGGCTCTGTAGTGAATACCTGCTCAATTATTGGCCAATTTAAAATGCAAAAAATGAAAAGACTATTCTTCTGCCTGCGGTCAGTTTTCTGTTTCACACTTCAGTCCAGTAGGGGGCGGTGGTTCATCTATGATCTACAAAAATAGACGAAGAAGAACGTCGGTGGAGCGGAAGTCACGTGACTAAAGCGGGAACTTTGTTCTCAGCTAAACAGATGCAAATCTGAATTATTTGAAATAAATAATAAGCAGTATTATTACTTTTTTTAATACTGACAGCCCGAATAGTGAAAACTGGACAGCTAGCTAAATAAATAATATCAAGTTTGAAGATTACAAACTGGCACGGCCGAGAAGAAGGTAAGAACAAACCTGTTGCGTCTCTTAAATGTTTCCCTCCTTCCATATTTGTGGTTGAGTGTTTTCAAGTGATACCAGTGGAAAATTAAATGCTTGGCCTTGAATTAGAAAAACAGGAGAACGTGCTGTAATAAACGCAGCTGTTTCGCTCAGAATTGTAGCCTTACAAGACAAATAACCTTTTTGTGACGTAATTCAGGAGCTGCACAAACCTTCATATTGATTATGTTCAGTTCTTCAGAATATTTCGTGCGCAGGTAAAAATAAACAACTCGTAAAACGCTATAATTTAGCACTTTAAAGGACGAGTTGCTTTCAGCTGCTTCTGTAAGCCTTGTTTTTACAGATGCTGCTGAACGGATCTGAATGAAAGCATTTTATATTTAGATGAACACATGTGTTTGGAGCTGCAACTGCTCTGAGCGCAGCCATCCTGCTAGTCACACATCAGTGTTTAATTTTCAAGATGAAAGATGAAGTTTAAATAAATGCCACATTTCTAGGAATAAGTCTGTAGGAGTTGATAGACTGAGTTTTGGTGATGACCAGAATACAGGAAGTCACACATTTCAGATGTCAGTTTAACTTGATCCTTCTGTGTTTATTTCCAGATGCATCAGTGGGATTTGTCTGTGTTCTCCGTCACCCCAGCTGCCAGCTTGCTGTCAAGATGCGTCTCTAAAGGAGCTGTGTCTCAGGTCAGAACATTATGTCGCAAAGTTTACTGGTTATTCTTGTTCCATCGGTCATTGTGTAATAGGTGGGGTACATCTTCTCTTCCATTGCTGTTTGATTCTCCTCCAGAGGGTGAGAAGAAAAAAAAACTAGCGAAACAGTAGCTAAAATTACTAAAAGCTAAAAATAGCACAAGTCTAGCCAAAATGCAAAAACTGTAGCTCGAAGCTAAAAGTAGCAAAAAGTGAAGCTGGAAGTAGCAAACGCATATTGTGGTGGATGGGCATAGTTTTTGATCACATGGTGTCGGTTGTGATTTTAAGATCAACTGTTTTCTCGCCTGATGAGTTTGTTAATGAGTGGGTGATGGAGGTAGTCTACATTTTTGCTGACCTTGTTATGCTTTAAGCTTTGAATTTTTGCCTTTGATCACTGCTGGAAGCTGCGGATCCGTTTTGTATGCTGCTCTGAGATGTAGTGTCTATGATTCATGGATGTTTTGCCTTGGAATATGAAGAACTTGATGCCAATAAAGTAACCTTAACTGCAGCTTGGATTTATGTCTTGATCAGAGAGCACGTCAACAATAACTTCCTCTACTCAGCTGCTCGGCGACTCAGTTTGTTTGACAGTCGCCAATACATATCCCAAGCTACAGTTAGCTAAATGTAAGGTGTTGTAGAAAAAACAAAACCTTGTATTTTATGTTAAGACATTTTAAACTGGTGTCCCTGAACCAGCTTTAGGACTGCTCTGGTTTAGGATAAACCTCTGGTTGTGTTGATCCCAGCCCTCTAGAGTTGATCTTTGTTTTCATCTCTCCTCAGGGTGAAATAGACTCGGCCTTCTCTGACCCAAACCCCATCTTCTCTTCACACCTGCAGGAGGCTGAAGAACAAATCAGGAACCAGAAACAGCTGGATGAGGTTCGCTCGTCTTTAAAGAGTGCTCTCAGTTTTACTTGAACAGAGATGGAGAGGGGTGTTTGGGTTTCTCTCCTGGACCTGCTGCCTCTGAACTGATAGATCAGCAGAAATAAATGGGTGTATGCAACATTCCTCTGTGGGGAGAAATGATGTCACCCTTGACTTCAAAGCTTTGTCCATAAAAACAGACTAAACTTGAAGAAGATGCCTGGAAAAAAGTTTAGTAGTTTTGTGGAAAGTAATTGGTTGCAGTGCACCTCACTTGTTCTGACTCAATTAAACTGATGTTTTTACATACATTTAGATTATTTCTACCTCTGGTTGATTTAGTTGCAGCTGCAGTTGGAGCTGCTGAGGCTCGACCAGAAGAGTGCTGATGTCACTCATGTTTTCCATCTTGGTGAGTTTGGATCAGATCCAGCTTGAAAATGGAGATGCTGTATCTCCTACACATCAAACGTGGAGGGCAGTTGGTCTCATCTGGTCCCAGTTTAACTTTGTTTTGTTGTCTTGCAGCTCAGAAGAACGAGAGGCTGCAGACACTCGGTAATCACCTGCTGGACCTTCTGAAGGAGCAGAAGGTTCTGAAGCAAAAACTGATGAGACCTCTGGCTCGCACCAATCTGCCCGTCATGGCTCACCTGCACAAGTGATCCTGACTAACTCCTGAGATCAGTATTTATTTTGAGTGACTATTAGTTTATTGATCTGTTCTGGGTTTCAGGTTTGTGGTGAAAACAGTAAAGCTGATGATGGACTTCATAGAGTGTCTGGAGGAGAAGCTGAGCTCAGCCCAGAACCAGACCGCCACTGCAGACTGCCTCACCCTGCTGGTCAGTTACAAAACAAACTCTGAGCAGTTGGTTCTCCAGTTTGTTCTCCAGCTTGACGAGTCGATCTCTTCTCTCCTGCTGGCAGGATACGTCCTGCTCCGTGATGCTGGCTCTGGCAGCAGAGACGGAGACGCTGTCCAACCGGATCCTGCAGTGGAAGAGCAGCAGCTCCCAAATGATCTCTGTCACGTCACAGACTGTCGGCTCTGCTGGAGAAACGGGCTGAAGCAGAGTTCCAGAAATAAACTCCTTTTTATTTTAATAAAGACTTGAATTTTAGTTTAACTGTAAAGTTGACTTACAAAGGAAAACTGAGTTTCTGCTTCTAAAATGGCTGATTGCAGTTAGTTCAATCAACTCTGAGCATTTTAACCCCAAGTAAAAGGTAAAAAGCCATAAAAAAAATGGAGCTTTCATGGCAACCACCATTTCTCAGTGCCATATCGGCTAAGTTTGTACCGCAGAGGTGATTTCTGTTTATTCCAAAAGTTTGATATTTGCAAACTAACATTCATGTGCGCATGTGTTAAAATTGCTCTAATTTTCATTGTCTTTAAACAAACTATTACATAAAGAGTTGTTGAAGCCATATAAACAATAAAACACTTATTTTTATTGATAGCTTGAGTATTTTTTTATGTTTTCCTATTTTATATTTAATTTTTAAGTCTGCTGCTCAGATGTACACAATGCTGTAAATTTAATTCATGCACATCTCTCTTAAGCCATATGTTGAAAACTCAAAGAAACAAACTGGGTTTCTTTTTCAAAAATAGATATTGTTTAACTCTGAATGCCAGGAAACATCTTGTAGCTGCTACTTTCCTACCAGCTATTGATTATGTTGACATTTACATGAATGAACATGCCAGCTCCTTGCAGATGCTGTTTACCATGGTGCGCTAAGATTCATAACTGGTTGTAACTACCGTACCCATCACTGCACTCTGTACTCATTGGTCATTTGGTTCATTATCTACACCTAGACTTACCGTGGTACAGTTTCATCTATAAATCACTCCCTGGTCTGCTGCCTTCTTATCTCCCACATGTTATGTCGTCAGTGCAGTTACAGCGTGCGCTCTCAGGCCTTCATTATCTGCAACATTCCCTTCGTGCAGACTGAACTCGGCACAAAGGCCTTTTCTTACTCCGTTCCTGTAATCTGGAACATATTGCAACAAGATCTGAAGCTGTCCACTTTATTTAAGAGATTTTAAACATTTGATAAGGTCATTAGAAAAATTAAAGCAAATATGTTCTTGTTTTTAGTATTTTAACTTGTTTTGTATGGCACTTTGATTTAATTGTTTTTATAACTATTATTTTAATAGCTTTTTATTGTATATTGTGTCTTTACTCTGTCAAAAACAGTTCTCTCTTGAAAACACGTCCTCTTGACTCGATGAGCATACCTGGATAAGTAAAGGTTACATAAAAAATAAAAACATTGGTTCATAATATGTTATAAAATCGATAAAACTTTGTGTTACTCAAAAGGTTCGACAAAAAAGCACAGAAAAAAAAAACTGGCCTAAAATCATATTCCTAAAAGAGCATTTTTCTAATTCACCTTCCAGTCCAGCAGGTGGCGATATGGTTTTATTCGCTTTTTAAAAGAGTCGTCATAGGTTGGGAAACACCAAGTGGGAGGATCCGTCTTCTGTGATTGGTCCGTTTAGGGTAGACACGCTGTGTGATTGGCTGTGGAGCTTGTCATTTTTCGAAGCGTTTTTTTTTTCGGGGGTTTCCGGTTGTGTTCGGATAGATGACGCTCCGCTTGAGTTTTGTTAAGCTCGTATCGAAGTCTCAGGCATAAGGTAACGCTCCGCAAATTTGATTTTACAATTTTCTTAACCGATTTTAACATATCGACGCCTACGTTGTTTAGTTATCGCTTCAGGAGTGTGATTAGTGAAGGAAATAGCGGCCAACCTTCGTTAGCTAGCTGCTATCCGTTAGCACGGCTGTGTAAACAGTTGATGGTAGAAAGAGCAGCTTGAGAAATTAACTGAAAAACAGCCAATTACCTGCAAAAATAATGTGATTTTTTTGTTTACGTGATTAAAGGTTAATTAAATTTAGCATTTAAGGTTTGTCCTTTTAGTTAAAATGCTCTCACTTTATTTAACTGATCATTACAATTTTATTTATATCATTTTTCATGCAAGGTAAATGTATCAACATATTTTAAAGTAAAGGGTAGAAAATAAACCTTTTATATGCATTATCCTACACCAGCTGCAACCTTCCACCATGCGTCGATCAAGGTGTTGGTAAATAAAAACAGTAAAAATAAAATTAGTTTAGATTGGGAACACCAGAAATGCAAAATATTAAAATCTAAAATGCTGAAAAATCACTCAAAACAAACTATGAAATCAAACAAAAGTTTTCCTGGACTTTTATCAAATGGTGCAGTTTGAATTTATTCCTGTAGTTTCTAGTTACGCAATTCTGAAATGTGGGTCTGCAGTCATTGTAAACAAAAGAGCTTTTGTCTGCTGACAACGAATCTGAGGGTAAATGCTTTTCAGTACATCGAAACTGGGACTCCTCCACCCGAAACAGCTCTTCCAGGGACGCCACCATTGTTGGCTCCCACTTAATGTTTCCCATCTAATTATGCTTTTAAAGTCACTTCGGCTCTAAGTAGCTAAACAAACACTTTGGCTGATTCTGCAAGTAAACAAATACACATGGTAGTTGACATCTGGTTACAAATTGCCATTGCTTAATTTAAGGACATATTGTTTTGAAGTAATGTTCCAATTTAATTTCTTATTCTTACTATGTGAAAAATAAATTTTAACAGGTTTTCTTAACTTTAAAATGAATGTTGTTTTCAAAGTCAACGTTTCTTTATTTGTCGTTTGCACCACATGTGGTGGAGCGAAATTGTGTATACAGGGTCCCGTGATCTACAAACGTCCCGCTCTGAGAAAAGTGGGGTTTTGTTTGTTTTTAACTGAAGGTCTGTGGTCCAGTTAGATTTTCTCTTTTAAGGGATAATTTGGGATATTTCGAAATGTGGTTCTGTGGTAAAGTTGTGAGCATCTTACCTGCTGTAGATAACTCTTTGAACAACCTCAGTTTGGAGCAATAATTTAACTCCTGACAGGACTGACGAGCTAACAGTTAGCCAAGTTTTTAAAGAGATTTATGTGTATGTTTATTCTGTTGAACTTTCCATGTTCATCAGTTTTACATGATGTGCTGATTCACTGAGAGTTCAGTAGATTTTTTACAAGTCCTAGCTGCAGTATCAGCTAGCTGTAGCTCTTCTGGTGCAGCCAGGGGTCATTTTCAGCAGGAATTTTATTACACGGCTGCAGAAAAACACATGTAATGTGTGAAACTAACAGTAATGTAAAGGTTGTGATGATAATGTTTGTTTTGAAACTTTGATGATCAGTTGTTTTAAGGTAATAAATAATGGCTGGTTAAAGCTGACCTTCATCCATAGTGAATTTTGTTGCCAAGAAACTCCAATTCTAATCCTTAAAATTTCATAGATCTACGTCCCCACACTGTTTTATGAATCTTTAAGCTGCTGTCTTTCACAATACATGGATATTCCAACATAAATGTTGTGAAATTTCTGCTGAAAATGACCCTGGACTGGATCTTCAGGTATCTGCTTCGGCCAATATTAGCTCTCAAAGAAAGATGGCTAAATTCATAACTGTGAAACTGACTGTTTCCAAACTTTAAACTTTCCAATCCACAAATTACCTGCAGAGCCCTGTGACCTCAAATATTTCTGGTTGAAGTATTAAAACTGTAATACCCCTAATAAAAAAGTGCATAATGACAGCCTTTACAGCCATGACACTTCATTAATTTGTAAAAGTTTGTGTTTCATGCTTTTGAATTTGATTCCTGAACATCATCTGAGGACTCTGGGCCATGTAACATCAAGTTAAAGTGTGGTCCCGACCCAAACTGTCAAAGGTTTGAGTTAACTAACAAAGTTAAGTCAGGTCCTCTGGACAGATGCAAAAAGTAAAAAATAAAATGTTTAAAATACTTATTTATTTTACTTTTTGTATCCATCCAGAGGACTTAACTTTGTTAGATTTTTCTACCTGGATTATTGAGCATGCATCAGGATATTTATGAGTTAACTTTTGTGTGATCTCCTGTTAGACCTCAACTATTGCTTAAACCACAATTGTTCAAAAAGCTATTTACAGCAGGTAAGCTGTTAACTGTTTATAATGTTCCCTTCAACATGAAGCTTCTGATCTGTTGAATCTGGATCTTTTCTCCACTCAGGAACTTTGCAGCGGCGATCTGCACCAAATATCTGATTTATTGATCAAACTGATCTGGGGGGTTTCCCTCCATAAGACACACAGACGGTGAGTGGTACTCTCACTTTATACAAACTTGTTTTATAAGAAAGATCAGCCTCTTTGTCCAGGAAGCCCTCAGATGGTTCACAGCTGACAACCAAGGTTGATATTTTCAGGGATCTGATCAGTTTTACGGTTTTATTTTTCCAGGATAACTCCAGAGTGCCATCATGGTTCTTGCAGACCTGGGGAGGAAGATCACCTCGGCGCTGAGGTCACTCAGCAATGCCACGATCATCAATGAAGAGGTGAGGGATGAACTAATGTTGGTTTGTAAACTGGTTTCCAAAGGTTTAGAACTGTAGAGTCTGAATCTGTCCCGTTTTTCAGTTGAATAACTTGAGTTTGTGTCCAGGTGTTGAACGCCATGCTGAAGGAGGTGTGTGCTGCCCTCCTGGAGGCAGATGTTAACATCAGACTGGTCAAACAGCTGAGAGAGAATGTCAAGTGAGTCCGAGCCACCTCTGATCCAGGTCTTCTCATCTGGATGGGAAGCCAGCTCAGATCAGTCCAGCAGTTAGTGGTTTTTGTTTGCTCCCTGCAGGTCTGCCATAGACCTGGAGGAGATGGCTTCTGGTCTGAACAAGAGGAGGATGATCCAACACGCCGTCTTTAAAGAGCTGGTCAAGGTGAGCTCAACGAGCATCCTGTAAATAATTTAAATCTGTTCTGGCTCTGTGGCACGCTCATCTGTGACCTCTGCTCCAGCTGGTTGACCCAGGTGTGAAGGCCTGGACTCCTACCAAAGGCAAGAACAACGTCATCATGTTCGTCGGTCTTCAGGGCAGTGGGAAAACCACAACCTGCTCCAAGGTAACTGCAAGCTCTTCAGACAGCTTACTGCTCGAATAGAAATTAATAAATGGCCCCACATCTCAGTATTTAAGAACTATTAGACCATTAGGAGTCATCTGAGGAGGTTCACCTTCTTAGAATGCTTCATGGACTCCCTTTGGAGGTTTTCTGGTCAAGTCCCACTGGGATGAGACCCAGAACTTTCTAGAGAGATTAAATACCTCTCTGGTCTGGGAACACCTTGGGTTCCCCAAGGAGGACCTGGAGAGGAGCTGTATTGTGCAGGAACTTTCTCATGGTTGGTCTTCTGGTTTAATTTACTTTTAATGAAAGTCCAGACTTCAGGTTCTGTTGGTTTAAAGGACTCTTCCAGTTTGATGTCGCTGTTAACCAGTTCTACTACAGATGAGGACTACATCCCATCATGGTCTCTCTTTGTGTTCAGTCTCTTGAACAGTTCAAAAATACCCACAATGCAGTTCTCTGTAGATGCTGGCTCCTGCTGTTTCCTTTCCTCTGACGACCATCTTGTTCTTCCCACAGCTTGCTTATTATTACCAAAGGAAAGGCTGGAAGACGTGTCTGATCTGCGCCGACACCTTCAGAGCAGGTAAACGACTGTTTGGCTGTTACCTGAGCAACACACACATTAATGAGTTCACATCTGACCTCACCGCTGCTGTACCGAGACGCTCGAGTCAGCTACAGAACGTTTGTTTTTTTTAACCAAAAGTCCCTGTGAACGCTTAATACTGAGAGAAGCTAAACCCTAGATAAAAGCTAAAGAGCAGAACATTAGCTTAAAGGAGCAAAACTGAGCTAAACACTTGATGAAAGGAGCTAAAAGAAGCATTAGCAGTGGCTAAAAGGAGCAGAGCAGTGGCTAAAAGCTAAAATAACCTGAACCTTATCTGAATTTTTTTTTTCCAGGAGCCTTTGATCAGCTGAAACAAAATGCCACTAAAGCCAGAATTCCTTTTTATGGCAGGTGAGTTGTTCCTCATCCCGTCAGTCATGGATTTTGTTGCATTTCTGGCCCCGCCCCCTCCTGACTCCATATTTGTTTACGATCAGTTACACGGAGATGGATCCGGTGGTGATCGCAGCCGAGGGTGTGGAGAAGTTCAAAGGCGAAAACTTTGAGATCATCATTGTGGACACGAGCGGACGACACAAACAGGAAGACTCGCTTTTCGAGGAGATGCTGCAAGTCTCCAACGCTGTGGTGAGTACCTGAACGCACCACCGCACACTTTTTAGTTCGATCTCATATGTCATTCTGTCAAGTGACTAAAGAAGTTATGTGGTTCCTGAATGCACCTCGCAGCCGGCAGAGATGCGTTCAGACGGCTGTTAAGTTTCTCTGCTCCCGTTTCCATAGCAACCAGACAACATCATATACGTGATGGACGCATCGATCGGTCAGGCCTGCGAGGCTCAGGCTAAAGCCTTCAAAGACAAAGTGGACGTGGCGTCGGTGATCATCACAAAACTGGACGGACACGCCAAAGGAGGCGGAGCTCTGAGCGCGTACGTCCACCACCCTCTGCCGTACGGTGCAGCTTGTCATTTTGTTTGTTTACGCATCATTTACGTTGTTTCCCTTCAGTGTGGCAGCCACCAGGAGTCCCATAATCTTCATCGGAACTGGAGAACACATCGACGACTTCGAGCCTTTCAAGACCCAACCGTTCATCAGCAAACTGCTCGGTAACTGTCCACTTCAAAGATAAAGATATAAAAGATATCAAATGTAGGTTCGACAAAGACTTAATAATTTTAGAAACAGCCGTCCACTTCCTGTGGTTAAGGTGGACTTTTTGATCACCTAAATACATTCTAAGACATTAAAACAAAATGAAGTGTGATGAAACTAACTTAGCGTTTTTGTAAGAGCTCTGTGACGCAGTTTCCTCTGGAGTTCATCATCGGCTGTTGACACAGACTAACAAATCTCATGGCTCTGATTCCTGCCTGGGGCTCCTGGACTGTTTTTTCCATTTGTGCTGATTAACTTTAATTCTCACCGGCCGGTTTAGATTCCCGACTGAACTTTTTTTCTCCTCTCTGCTGCTCGTCTGGAAACGATTTATTTAAAGATGTTTCAGCTTTAAAAAATATTGCCTTGTTGTCTGTCGGGGTTAAAGACCGACCTGTAGTTCCTGCACAGATCTGCTTTATGTCCAAAGTTGTTTGTAACTCAATTTAAACCAAAGCATTCTTAAATGGTTGACTTTAAGTTATGTCATAGATTGTGTAATTTTCAGGTGACTGGTCAAAGCCAGTGGACAAAGAGTTTGTCTGTAAATGCAGCACTCAAACAGCCATCAAGAGCTCGAAACAAAAGATTTATCATTTGTTTAACACGACCAAAGTGCTCAGCAAGCCTCGATCTACGGTTAACGTTCTGTTTCCGGGTGGAAGTTGTGGTTCTGTTGATCAAACCTGGGTCAACTCTTCCCATCAGGAATGGGCGACATCGAGGGGTTGATAGACCGAGTGAACGAGCTGAAGCTGGACGACAACGAGGAGCTGATCGACAAACTGAAACACGGTGAGAAACCAAACTCGGCCGCCTGCAGAGCAGATCGCGCTGCATGTTGAACGTCTGACCTGTGACCTCTGACCCGCAGGTCAGTTCACCCTCCGAGACATGTACGAGCAGTTCCAGAACATCATGAAGATGGGACCCTTCGGACAGATAATGGTAAACCTGGAAGGCTCGGCTGCTGAAGTTTTAGTTTGGGCTTCGATACAGAGCAGCGTTTTTATACATTCCTAATTTGTGTGTGTGTTCAGGGTATGATTCCAGGTTTTGGCACAGACTTCATGAGTAAAGGAAACGAACAGGAATCGATGGCCAGACTGAAAAAACTGATGACCATCATGGACAGCATGAACGACCAGGGTAACGTGTCCTGAAACCTTAGTCTGCAGTAAACGTCTGCATTTCCTCCTGAAATGAGTTAAACTTGAGTCTGTTCTGAGAGGAACTCCTCACCAGGTCTCACTTTGTCTCCTCTGCAGAACTGGACAGTAAAGATGGAGCAAAGCTGTTCAGCAAGCAGCCCAACAGGATCCAGAGAGTGGCCCGTGGGTCGGGGGTGGCCACCAGAGACGTCCAGGAGCTGCTCACTCAGTACACCAAGTTTGCTCAGATGGTCAAGAAGATGGGAGGCATCAAAGGCTTGTTTAAAGGTGCATCTTCCAAACGAGCTAATGTTTGCTTCCTGTACCTAAACTGTCTTCACTCAAAAAAACTGAATGACACGAGCTACGTTTGGCAGGCAGACCAGTCCAGACTGGAGTCTTATTCAGGCAACGAGCATTTTTGTCCCCAGTCGTGGAGCGAAAAGGGAACAAAAGGAAATTCCCTCCGTCTAAACTCCACTAAACCATCAGTCTGTCCTTACTCTTCTGATGGCAGCTATCCCATCTCTGTTCTTTGATTTGTTGTCATTAAAACTTACAAACTAAACATTAGTTCAGGCTTTAGCGGGTGAACATTAAAGAGTAAAAGTAACCGATTACTTTAAGGTGATCCCATTATGGAGATCCAGATTTAAGGGAGCCAGAGAGACCTGGAGCTCTGATGAGGTCTTTATGTTTATGGTGTTTTCAGGAGGAGACATGTCCAAGAATGTGAACCCGTCTCAGATGGCTAAACTGAACCAGCAGATGGCCAAAATGATGGACCCGCGAGTCCTGCATCACATGGGTAAGACCTGCTCACTCTGACTTCTGATATTTAATCTGAAGGCAGGCCGTTGTAAGCGACTTGTCTCCCTCAGCCAGATTTAGATGTGGGTGCTGAAGTTATCCCGAGCATTAAATTAAGCAGAACGCAATTTATAGGGTTGCACCTAAACTGCCATAACTCTGTTCCTCCTCCTCCTAAGATCTTAGTTTAAAGTGACATAAAGGAGGCGGGTGATATGCATTACTTGAAATGAAACGTTGGCCTTTAGCGGGGATTTATGATCAGCTGTTCTGGTAAAACTGCAGACCCCGACTCATCTAGTTTGTGTGTGGGTGTGTGTGTTTCAGGGGGCATGGCAGGTCTTCAGTCAATGATGCGTCAGTTTCAGCAGGGAGCCGCCGGCAACATGAAAGGCATGATGGGATTTAACAACATGTGACCAGCCGCCAATCATCTGCCTTAAAACAATAAAATGCTTTGCCTCCAAGCAGGTGGAAGAGGTGGGGCAACCTGTCTTTTGCTGCTTTGCACAAACAAAGATTTCTCTTTTATTAGAAAAACACCAGAGTAAACTGTTCGATTTAAAGGAGTGGCCCAAACGTTTGTCAGAAAAGCTCTCGGGGTGATTGTTTAAAGGACGAGCGGCGACGAGGACGAGCCGCTCGTTTACTGGCGTCTTTACTTTTGTTGTGTAAATTGTTTAATTTTAAACTCCTTTAAATGAGCTGATGACATATGGTTAAAATGACAACATGGATTAGTGACAGTATTTTTGTCAAAATAAATATTTGTATTGCACCACTGTAACCTGCGTCTTTATTTCATCATATTTGACTTCCTGTGAGGCAAAAAATTTTTAATCTAGAAAGCATTTATTCAAGTATAAGATAATTATCTTTGACGGGACTGCTTTGACATGAACAGGGAAACAGGATTACGATTGGACCAGGCTCAGGTTCCTAAAAGCCAATGCATGGAAAATATCATTTAAACATTTTAAGTTGTGTTGCACATTTCACTTGTAATCAAACGTTTGTTGGTTGTGTAGTGTGTCAACGGACAGCTTTGCTGTGGACATACGGTCCACCATTTGTGTCATCTAAAACACGTACGGTCCCATCAAATGTAGTGAAAGGTGGGGGTCAGCCTTTGCTGTACCTTCACTATTATTTAAATATAACGGGTTCTTTTTCGAGTTAAATTAATGCCATGTGACCGAGGTAACTGAGTATTGTTTAATCAGTGACAAGAGACGTTAATTTTCTTTGACCCATCAGAATAAATGCAGTCATTTATGGAACAGAATCAAAATTTAACATCAAAACATTGTACACTCGATTAGCTGATCTGGTTCTGATTAATAAAAACTTGCCACGCTTTACTAATAAGACAACAGGACATTTCTGAAGGCATCTAGATTACTGGCAAAATAGAAGAGTTTAAAAGGAAGGAAGGAATGAAGGAGTTTAAAGGAGATGGATGAAGGGAGGTGTATGTTTGGATTGACCAGAATTAGCACACTTCTTTCAACACCAGCTCAAACCTCCGGTACACTTCAGGACGTGCAGAGACTTCGTTACCTTAGACGGGGATACCTCCGCTCCGGAACAGAAGTCCATTAGTACGATCCTTTTACGGCGTCTCTGGTCAGGGTGGCTGGGCATCGTCAGAAGTCGTGTGGTTTACTCCGTTCAACAAACAGGACCAGCTCCCTTCGAGGTTGTAGGCGTTACGCCCGGGTGGATTCACAGCAAGTATCTGTGACTCCGTCAGAGTTTCCACTCAGAAGTGGAAGACTCCATCAAAGACTGAAGAGTCAAGAAGACTCAGAAGAACTGGTCCAAGAATGACTAGTTCCAGGAAGTGCTGACTTTTAAGAGTCCTCACTTCCGGTCATTTAGGACTTCCTGATTGGCTGAAACAACCAACGGGGTGGTTCTAGTGATGTCAGAGGGTTATTAAAAGTCAAGAGTGCAAAAATGTTTAGGAACGTTTAGTACAGACAGATGTTATGGCGAAGTGAGAGGAACGCAGATGCCAGTGTTTCTCTTTTTACCGTCTGCTAGGTTTAAAAACAATACAGTCCGTTCTAATAACTTGTTTTCTGACTGTCTCTGACTTTCGACCGACATTCAGACAGAAGATCAAAATGCATAATTACTTTGTAAATAGACATTTAACTTGATTTCAAAGTCTAATGAGGTTTAAAATCATTAATACTGTTTCACAGTTGATTTAAAATGAGTGGTTCACTTCAACATTAGAAATTAAATGAACTAAACACTTTTGATTATAAAGATATTGTAAAATAGTAATGATCATATAAAAATTAGAGTGTTCTTTCAATTGATTAGTTCAGGATACAATTAGAAAGTCTCTGGATGAGCCAATTTGTATTTCTGGATTCAAATCAATGAAATAACAGTTCCTGTCCCATGAAGGTCTTCAGAGACAGGTTTTGGTCGGAGGCCAAGTTCACTACAGTTGAATCCAACACTGTTTATTTACAGACATTTTTAGCTCTTAAATTCAATTCAAATACTTCATCAATCCCAAAGGGAAATTAAATGTAACTCGTTATCCTAGTTTCATTGAGATTTTATACTGTATATTGCTGTAGGCAGGAACGATTGATTGTAAAGGTCCGTCCCACAGCAGATCTGAAGAAACTGGCCACAAAAGTCCGATCCGTCCACTCAGACTCAACTGGCCTCTCAGTCCTGGGCAGCAGTTCCACCCAAATGCTGGACAGAACTCCTCCCAGAGTGATGGCCACTCCTCCCAGCAGCCTGCCGAGCTCCTCCTTGCTGCAGACAGCCGGTTGCAGGTGCCTGGGGACAATCCTGGCCCTTCTGCTGTCATGAGCAGTGTTTCCTGCCAGTTCCAGGATCGCAGTAAGTCAGGCACTCGAGCACAGCCGGCAGGGAGACGGGAATAGACGGGAATGCATCTATGGTGTCTCCTTTTCAACTCATTTGAGATTTGGGGCTATAGCTGAGATATTATTTGAGCTTTTGAGACGTTAACTGCTCCCAGTTGCAACAAACCACCATGTTGTTGGTTACGCATCATAACAAATGTCCAAAACTAGAAAAGTTTCAGTAAAAATCCTTCTGGCTGCACAACATCCGATACCAGAAGAAATAATCATCCAAAAACAGAATTAATGTAAACACAGCTGCTCCAACATGCAGCCACCCTGAGCAGCGCAATTCTAGAACCTGAAATGCAATCTTGACAAAATTGTCAATTTAATAAATTTTACCCGACTGATCGTGTAGTAGTGTAAAAAAAAAAACAAAAAAAACACTAGCCCTAAAAAAATTAAGCGCGTCTGTAAACCTGTATTCCAATGTTATATGAAGCAGCAGTTACTAGTTCACAATAAAGTGGATTATGTACAGTTTTCCGTTTTTATATTTAGTCTAGATTTGTCGAGAGGTTCAGTAAATTACTTGTGATGGATTTGATTGATACCTTTATATGAAAAAATTATGCTCATCAGTAAAATATAAACCAAATCTGTGTCTGAAAATCCAGCCGAATATTGCTGAGTGATACATTTTCTCACTGAGTTTGCTATTTAGAGGCGTGGATTCTAAATTCTAGACAGAACTTTATGTACAACTTGCAGAGGATCTTTATTTTAGCATTACTGCTTGCTTTTGTTTGTTAGCACTGAACAAAGTCCCCGAAAGTGACTAAAACGTATTTGTGTTCTCTTGTGTCGGTCAGTGACATATCTTCTTGAATTTACTATCTATGTTGACGTGGCGCCTATTGTTATGTCAAGATCGGTAACCCTGTTCAAACGCGTTTATCCAGTCGCTCCGCCCCCTTAGGGCGGTAAATGAAGCGCGTGTCTGCTGGAAACTCGCCCCCGACGCTCTGATCTGTGCCACGTATAAAAACAAAATGTTTAAGCGTTTTTTTAATGTTGTATATATATATATATTTTGTGTGATTTTTTTAAGTCTAAAAACTGTTTTAGTTCTAGTTATAAAATAAAAATTATAAAAAATAAAGTTTAAAAAAAGGTGGCATTTAATTCCCTGATGCATGCTCTGCTGAAAGCAGAATTCCTAATTTGACAGCAGCATTGCAAAATGCCACAAGAGGTCACTGTAACTGAAGCTTCAACAAATTAACCTATTTGTGAAACAATTGGCCCAACTGGTTCATTGCTTCATAAAAAGCTTCATTTGCTCATCATTAGAGGAAAGCAGCAAGCTGGTGTTCACCTTGATCACACTAGGACTCTGTAAAGATCAACCACCAGGACAGGACACCTACCTAACCACAGGAAGACCACAACAGCAACCAAACACCCAAACTGCTCGCGAACCACGTGAGGAAACACGTGCACGAGTCGCCTCTTTTTTATATTCCGCCCGCTCATTTAACCGGAAGTGACGATATTTCTATAACTACTACACTTTTTAAAACAAAAATAAAAAATATCAAAGAATAAAAATAAATACCTACACAGGATGTTCAGTAATTTATGGTTTTTATTTTTTACTTCATTAATAACAGAACACTACTAAAAAGATACAAATGCAAACTCTCATGAAGGGTGTCATAACTACAATTTACAAGATAGGGATGAAATATATATATATATA